TTGTAGCCATAGGCTTTCCGAGGATGCCCATGGTAGGGACGAGAGTGGGGACGGCAATCTTTGCGTCGTCGCCACTGCCGCTGCTGCCGTCTACGGGGGAGCTGGTTGTGTCGTAGTGCACGAGACCCATGTCCATGTCGTCGTAGCCGGCGCTTGTGGGATTCGCGCTCACGGGGGACGCGCGACGGGGGGAAAGGTTACCGTCTGTGGTGATGCGCAGAGACGGGGCGGTGAGGCTGGGCGTGTGGGAGCGCGATCCGGGCGCGTTTGGTGGGGGATCGGATGAAAAACTGCGTTTCCGCGGCAAAGTGGAGGTGGTGGAACGCGGGGAGTGGGGCACAGGGACGCTGACCGAGTCGTAGGATGAGTCGTGGTCGTACGAGTCCTGGGAGTCGTTCCCGCCGCCGCCGCCGAACTGGAAGGGGTGCAGATGGTTGCCATAGGTCGCTGGGCTGATTGGTGTGACCGGACTGAGGGCACCAGAGGGGGGACCGATGGGGGAGAGATTTGTGGGGGATGCGACGGTGAGAGACGAGAGGTTGAGGGATAGAGACGAGGAGGTGCGGTGGACGGGGGGGGATTGCTGGAAGCCAAACTGCGGATAGTGTTGCTGCTGCTGCTGCTGCTGCTGTTGGTGCTGCTGCTGTTGCTGCTGCTGCTGCCAGCGGGGGGTGTAGTGAGCGTCGGGGGACATTGGGTAGTCCATGCTGCCAGCGCTGTGGCGGTATACTTACACCAGAATCTAATCACTGTAGAAGAGAGTGTAGCATTTGCTTCCGTTTCCCACGCCCTTTTTCTGCTGCCCCCGACTGCCATGGCACTTCCCGACTGCCATGGCACTTGTCTCCTTCATCGCACTTAATCCTGAGCCACATTGCGCCCACATTGCGAGCCACATTGCAATTTGCCCTGTATCGCTTCAACTCAACTCAGACTCATGTCCGCAAATGACTTATCCCTCCTTCATCGCCTCCGACGCGGCCGCTTCAACATATAGACGGTCAATCCTCCGCAACAACCGCAACTTGAACCCCTCCGTGATCCAACCCATGGCAACTTGGCTGTACGACCCCGACCTGCTCGGCGCCTCTGCTGCGCGCTCGCGCGTCGGATCATCACTCTTTCCGTGCTGTTACCCGCTGCCGTACACCACCTGTCATTTGATCCCCGCCTGCGACCTCGGACTCGGACTCGGCCGCGCAGGCGCGGGTGCTGTTGACGCGGTCGGGAGCAGTGCGCCTTGTGCAGCGAGTTCGCAATTGTAATTTCTTCAATTGGCGTCGCTCTTCCATTTTTTAATTTTCTCAAGGGCGTGTGGGTCCGACGTTGTAGGTCCGACAACCACCGATTGGTACCGAATGGCGGGCACACATGGGCTCGTCGATCACCATGCCAGGGATCTCCCGAGATAGATAGCGAGCAGGTCTTCTGTTGACACCTCTTCGTCAAGTGACTTGAGACAGTTGAACGAATGGCAAGCACACGTCAACAAATGTTCGAGATTTTGGTTCGGAACGTTAGTACCTCCGGCTTGCGGTACTTCTGTGCCCCCAAATCTGTACACGGACTGCTAGTTGCCGTCCCAAAATACACGCATATCAGGGTAAGAACGAAATTATTCAACCACATCCAATAACGAATCCAATGCATAATAATCAACACTCGCCTTCGCCCGCACACAGCTCCACGCCGCTCGTGTCCCCAAACTCCCACACCCTTATGAACCGCAGCCCCGCCTCCTCCAGCGTGCGCTCGCCGCCGTTGACAAGGACCATCAGGCTGACGTCGAGGCGGTACTGCCGGTGGTGAGTACACATGGGCCCGTCGACCACCATAAGATCTTCCGAGACAGACAGCGAGCAGGTCTTCTGTTTTGTGTCCACCAAGTTCTGTAGAAATTGACACCTCTTTGTCAAGTGACCTGGGACAGTTGTACAACATGCGAGGTACGAACTTCTTCTGTTGTAGTGTCTGTCTACGAGAGACTAGGACACTTGAACAAATGGCAAGCACACGTCAACAAGTGTTCGAGATTTTGGTTGAAGAACGTTAGTATCTCCGGCTTGCGGTACTTATGTGCCTCCTACACACGGACTGCTAGTTGCCGTCCCAAAATACACGCACATCAGGGTAAGAACGAAATTATTCAACCACATCCAATACAACGAATCGCATAATAATCAACACTCGCCTTCCCCCGCGCACAGCTCCACGCCGTTCATGTCCCCAAACTCCCACACCCTTACGAACCGCAGCCCCGCCTCCTCCGCGAGCTGCACATACTCCTCCAGCGTGCGCTCGCCGCCGTTGACGAGGACCATCAGGCTGACGTCGAGGTGGTACTGCCGGATGCGCCCCGCGCCGTAGTTCCCAAGCAGCGGCGCCGGCGCGTGCGTGAGCTGCTGCTGCAGGGCGCTGCGCCCCGCGGTCTGCAGCGTGTACTCGTCTGCGGATGCGCGTCGCCCTCAAAACAATTTAAAAATAAATAAATCGTGCAGGACGCACGGATGAGCACACGGCTGCCGGGTTTCATCGCCTGCCGAACGCCCTTCAGGATCGTGCGGCATTCCGCCGCCGGGAACGCGTGCAGGATGTTCTTCAGCTGCACTCACCCGTCAGCACGCGCAGCGGCAAAAAAATCAAAAATCAAACTTGGACTGACATAATACACATCACACCCCGCAATCGGCGCCTCCGCGAAGAAGTCGATGGCCTTGAACTCGATGCGGTCCTCCGCGAGGGCCGCGGGGCACTCGGCGGGCCAGACGACCGCGCGCGCCTGCGCCATGCGCGCGGGGAGGTCCTGCAGCTTGAGGCGCAGGTGCGGGTGCGCGCGCGCGAGCGCGATGGCCATGGCGCCGACGCCGCCGCCGAGGTCGCAGACGGTCGCGCCGCGGGGGAGCGCGTGCCAGGGGTACGCTGGGGCGCATTAAATTGCCTTAATAAAATCAGGAGTGAGGAATGAGGTGCACGCACCGCGCACGACGGCCTCCGCCTCGACGGCGGTGCCCCACCCGAGCATGCCGATCCCGAAGCGCGTGCCGTGGCTCTGCATCTCGGGGTCCTGCATGCGCACGCGCCAACAATAATTATCGAATCGCGCGCGGGCGGGAGTAACGCGCGCGTGCATACCTGGGCCCAGAAATCGAACATCGGGAGCGGCTGGTTCGTGACCTTGTTGAACGCGGAATGGGCTGGATCGGTGGAGGGGCCCCATTCCGCGTCCGCGAGCGTCTCGGCGAGCTGGGTGGCCCCTTGCGTCGTGTCTTCCGTCCTTCATGAAATAAAATTTAGCTATGGAAGAGGGATGGCGATGATGAGGCTGACATATGCAAGCCGAGGCTGTAGAGCGGGTTGGCCGAGAGGAGTTGCACGCTGAGGCGGGTGTTGGCGAATACGTCTCGTTCAACTGACAAGAAATTAAACAAGGTTGGTTCAAATTCACATATACTGTACCTTCCTGGAAACAGTGCTTCGCGGACAGCAGGCGCAATATCCTGGCGAGCTTCGGCGCGTCTACCCCGCATATCTTGCCGATATCGGCGACGTGCATTCCGGCCGGCTTATGTTGCAGAATATCGGGGATTTTGCAGTTCAGGGCAACGCGCAAGCAGCTTGGTTCAAGTGCCTGAAATTCAAGTTTAAATATCATCAAAATGTCAATTGGGCGAGGAGGTGAAGTCAAGCAGTACCGTCATGAAGAATTTCTAGGCATCCAATATCAGCTACAACCAACATGGAAGAGATGGTTTTGCGTTACATTCAATACCGTGTGGTTCGGACGCGCTAGCGTCGCGCACAGCTGCGCGCAGGCGCCTTCGAGAACCTGGACAGCCTCCCGCATCTCCGGGGACGATATCTGTCCGTCGAGCGGATGCGGCTCCGTATCGTCGAGAGAAGGCACACGGCCGCGTTCGTCGGTGTACCCCCGTTCGAGACTTCTGGCAGACGTGTTGATGAGGGACAGGAGGGCGGAGATTTCGTCGACCATGTTCGAGTTCTGAGATGATGGCGCGACGGCTCAGAGAGGTCTTAAATAGAAATAGCGGAGAGGGATGTGTCGGCATCTGAACACACACTAGGCTGCAAGGGTCTCCCTCCTCCATCGAGCCCCACCGTCTCCGAGACTCGCCGGACCCTGAATCGACGAGAGCAGCGAAATTGGGGCGGAGACGCGAGGCGGACTCATCAGCGTATACAAATATCGCGAAAACCGCGGAGACGCTGGAAAAACGCAATGAAAACCCCGATATCGCAGACTCAGTGCCTACGAAACCAACGAGGATACGTTACTCTTCAGCACAGTGAATGAGAAGAAATTTCCTATTGCCGTTACGGACTGGCACGGTTTAGGTCACTCCATTCCGCCGTCAGCCACCATTGCCCGTTCTGCCCCGAGGGGCTACTAGACTAGTAGTACTAGTAGCATATTCAAAAGACTGCTAGCCCGGTTCCTAGAATGATTCAACGAAGTCAGGGTTCAGTGACCCGACTTGTCCGTTCTATTCGCAGAGTTGGCGAATGCGAGTCTACGCGAGTCCAAAAGAGAAGTCCTAAAGTGTAGAAGCCTAATTGAGCGCAGTGAGGTACCAGAGATAAATTATTCTGCGATTGACAAGACTCGGAGAATGGAGAGGTGAATGGAACCAGCTCGCTAAGGCCTGAGCCGCATCACGGAAATAACGTTGAGTCATGACACTTGTAGAGTAGCTGCCGCCCGGTGTACTGGACTTTCACGAGAGGCGCAGGCTTCGCATGGGTGGACCGACTCGGATTCCAATAAGCTCGTTCCGAACGCCGAGCCTGAGACTCAGGAATCAGGATGTCCTTTGAAATCCGACAGTCCTTCTGCGCGAGTCTCTTGTGAGCACGTCGCGGACAGGGGCTTCATGGTTGATGGCCCGATCCCACCGGCACGTCACGTCATTATGCTCTCGTACATTGCGTGCCAGGCGTCGGGCATCGGGAGTCACCAGATGAAGCGTAAAAGGCCGAAAAGATGGCATTACGGTGGGTCAAACACCGAACCTTCAGATTGCAGAACACTGTGGGTGATCGTCTTCAGTCTGCTGCTCTCCCAACTGAGCTATAACGCCAGATGAGCGGACTAAATTCCAGGTTATTCGGACTGTGTGGGCCCTGCTAAGAAATTTTAGCGACAGGGCATTCTCGGAGAGGAACTGGAGAAGATGAGAGGCAGTCGAGGCAGTGGAGGAGAAGCCTACGTGACCAGCACCTAAAAAAACAAGCGAAAACTGAGGGGAAGCGGACAGAGGCTGTAACGATGAAGAGAGACACTTGCCTGCTCAATTCTGAGCGAGGAGAGCCGAATGTGGCGTTGAACCGGCGTCGTTGACACTTCCTCGGGGAAATTTCTCAAGGATGAGGGCTGATATAGGCCTCGAAGAGCGTGTTCCATGTGGGCAAAAGGAGCAGTATGTAAGCCCGATAGCAATACTGCGAGAAAACTTCAGCGAAGATGGCGAGGATAGCATCGTCGAGTTCGTCCAGGACGGTTGTGGCCCAGCAAGGTTGAGCCGAGACATCGAACCCCATGGTCCAGGTAGTGAGATCGCTTTGTGAAGTCGTAATCGGCGAGGGCGAGGGTCGGTCGTAGCATATAATGCGTGACCAGGGAAGAGCTGCTCGTCCAACTAACCGGGCGTAGGGGGAGAAAAGTTGTGTGCATCGGCTGAGGCTAGCAGGACAGACTGTGACGTAGGACGGGCTAAGACGGGCGTCCCAAACTTTCAAGCAGTCTGCCTAGAATGAGCGGGAAAGTGGCGAGACACGATAATAGACACAATGGGAGTAGCCAGGCGGCTCGACGACACGTTCAAGTTGGGAAGACCAAGCTCGTTCGCGATCACATGTCAATATGATGGCATCGCAAATTGATCGTCAACCCAACGTCAGCCATCTTCTCTTTCTTCTCTTCTCCCCTCATCTCCCTCTCCATTCGACTAAATCCTTTGATTCATCCGGTAACGACCTATGTATCCCTTTCCTGCTCGGAAGTTGACAAGGCCATAACAAGGCCGCGGCCTTCAAGACTCACGCTCGCCTCTCATCGTTTTCATCCACCTGCCTTGAAGTCGGCTACACATTGAACGATATTAAGACGTCGTACCCTGGGAGAACTCGCGCGCTCAGTCATCCCCGGGTCGTAAAACTAACTAGGCGACGGCCGCTGTCTGAATTTCGCCGCTCAGGGCCTCAAGGTACGTTTCTAATTCATTTCAGGCACCTGAGGCTGACCATTTCCAAAGCCCAAATTTCGACACGGCACTCGACCCCCGGCGGGGAGCCCTGAAGACCTCAGTTTGAAAAACGTTGGGGGTTCCCTGTTACTCAAAACCTCAATGGGAGACTATGCAAGACCTCAATGGGTAACTGCTCAAGACCGTTGGGGGATCGATCATTCATCTGCTGGTTCAAGACCACAGGTTTATTCTTGAAACCCTCAGTGGGAGTCTGCTCAAGGCCTCGGTGGGAAACTGCCCAAGACCGCTGAGGGATCCTGCCTCAAGACGGCCCGAAGACACCCAGACGCACGGAGGTTTTTCCCCCGAGGCCACGGAGATGTGGGGTGGACGAGCCAGAGCGTCAGTACTTGCTGCGTGTGTGGAAGGCGTGGAGGCGCAACTTTTGGCTATTTCTTGGGGGCGGGTGGCGGCCCTTGCATCCTCGTTTGAAGGTTTACGACGTGCGCATTTGGTTTCTTACCACTTGCCCGCATAAATTGAGTATGAAGGGTTTATTACCGCACCGGTGGGCTCCATGAGCGCGACGAAGAGCCCAGGCGTCCAGGGAGCGCGCGGCTCGCGTTAGAGCACGTGACGGTGATGCCTCGACTCTCAGAGTCAGACCTCTTGACCTCATTCCTGCCCGGATAACAGAATACACATATGCCACATCTCCTCGGGTTAGGCATGTTCAGAAGGGACAACACAAGTGCCGGCGGGCGAGTGAGCGCTCAAGCACTCAAGACGGCCCGGGAAGACTCCACGGCGTTCTTCAAGTTCCGGCGTCAGCGCCCGGGTGCCCGCACCCACTGGAACAAACATATTGACTGAATGACATAGAACCGCCCACACATCTTTCCGTCTCTTGTTTCAACATACCGCACGACCACAAGACGCTCATTCTTGCTCTCGGGGCAGCTGCAGTCATTGCAACCCTTTATTACACGAGGAAGAACTTGAAGATCGTCGCGCCATTTCTGCCCGGCCCCAAGGGTACCCATCTTAGGAGATGCTGCTGATATGCCTCAATCTCTTCCGTGGTTGACTTTCTCTCGATGGGCAAAAACGCATGGTAAATGACCCTCGAAATTGAACGACCTGAAACTGACTCCAATTCACTTCAGGTCCTATCGTTCACCGGAGGATTCTTGGGAGATCCATCATAATTCTCAACGATGTGAACTATGCAATTGACATGCTGGACAGGAAAAGCCGGATCTATAGTAATCGCCCCGACTTCGTCATGGGCGGGGAGCTTGTGGGATGGGACGAGGGACCAACTCTGATACAATTTGGGAAGAAGTGGTCAGAGCATCGTCGCTTGATGGCTTAGTTTCTGGGAACCCGTTCCAAGGTTGAAACCGCTTACAACCACGTATTCGAGAATGCAACCCACGCATGTCTGCGCAGCCTTCTCCAGAGCCCGAATATGTAGAAAGAACATGGCTACAGGTGTGTAAGTTTCGATTTGCCGAATTTTGATAACCTATCCTTCTAGATTCGCCGGAGCCATTGCTCTGAAAATCACGTACGGTTACCAAGCTGATGACCACGACGATCCTCTGGTCAAGCTGGTTGACGAAGCGATGGGCTAATTCTCAGAAATGACTGCACCAAATGCATTCACAGTCGATATATTTCCCTTTCGTATGGTTCTGTTCTCCCTATAACACTCGTTGGTTAATTAACCTCTCGAAGTTCGATTCGTTCCGCAATGGTTTCCTGGTGCTTCATGGAAGAAGAAAGTCGGTCATTATCACAAGACGCTCCAAAGCATGCTTAATACACCATACGAATGGGTCAAGAAACCAATGGCAAAGTGATTTCTGTGGTCTCCTTGATGTTTCTGACGTAATGAGCTAGGCAATGGGGACCTCAATTCCGTGTTTCGTATCAGACCTACTCGATTCCAACACGTCCACTGGCGACGAGGAGCGTGTTATCCAGGGGGCAGCTGCAGGAATTTACAGTGGTGCGTTACATCCATGGTTTTGAATTCAGATGATTCAAAACACACTGGATTTAGGCGGAGCCGAAACTGTCTGTTGCGTTTCCATTGGCGGAGGCGTCTACTGAAAATCACCCAGACGGGAGCTGTCGTCGAGACATTGTTTCTTGCAATGGTGTCACAACCGGATTCTCAACGTAAAGCTCAAGACGAGCTCGACGCCATTCTGGGACACCTCAGATGGAAGATCGACCCCGTTTACCATTCATGGAGGCGCTCATTTCAGAGATTTTCCGAACATACACTACGGGACCAATGGGTACGAATAGTATATAATTCAAACACATCGTAACTGATCATTCTTGCAGGACTTCCGCACGTTGCGACGGAGGACGATATACATCGTGGTCTTCTTATCTCGAAGGGTGCTATTATCGTTGCAAACAACTGGCGAGTCATTGTCTGTTTAAATGCATGGAATAACTTGCCTCGTCTTCACCTCCCAGGCTGCTTTTACCGTGACTGCGACATATACGCTGATCCAGAGACCTTCCGCCCGGAGCGCTTTATTGAAACAGCGACATATGTTAAAGAGAAAGATTTCAAGGATATACTGTTTGGGTATGGACGCAGGTAAAGAACTTCGAAGTCAAATATTATAAGCTTCTGACTTGGATCATTCAAGAGCTTGTCCCGGTAAGAACAGCACCACCGGTAACCACACTTTATTTCATCGGGAATTCAAGAGTTCACCTCGCTGATATGACCGTGTGGCTCTTGTTTGCCTCTATATTGGTATTTTTCGATATCAGCCCCGCGGTTGAAGATGGTGTTCCGGTGCTTCCGTCTGGCAGATTCTTGGACTGATCCATCAGGCCTCAGTCCCAAAAACCTTTCTCTTCCTAATTGTGTCCCATAGCCGCCCAGAAGAGCTCAAGTGCACAATCATACCTCGCAAGAGGCCATTCAACGGCTTTTGGACGCTTGATTTGCCTGTCCTCCCTATTCACCGGAATTGGCTCTATGTTTGAAGCCCTTGCACCACGGTCAATTTAAAGTCATGGGCTTCGCCGTTTTTTAGTTCGTTTGCGTTCCGAATATATGCGCGCGCTTGGGGAGCATTCAATGATCTGAACATGTGCAGCGCTCGGGCCTCAAATATTTCAGGCCGCGACTTGAGTGCCGGTTACACCACCAATGTCTTCAATTCTATCCAGGAAAGCTTGTTCAGCAGCTCGAATCCATGCCGAACGATTTTGGAGCTGGCTCACCGAAAATCGATCTAATAATACAACACAGTTAGAAAATGCAACTCCCGAGTCCGAGAATGGACATTTGTCTGTTGAGACGGCTCAGAAGTGCGACATGAAACCGGTAAGCGTCCGCATAAACCAGTCGGTACTCACATAACTATCTAGAAGCCCACCACGCTATAAAGCCCCTACTGGCTTAGTCAGCCCAGTGATCACGCCCGGGCCCAAGCCTAAGCCCTGGGCTTGAGGCCCTACCTGAGGGCTCGTGCTCGGGCTCAGTTTCGGGCCTGGGATATCCTAAGCCCAGGCTGCTTCAAGCCGAGCCTAAGCCCGGGCTTCCAGGCCGAGCCGGGCCTGAACATCACCAATGATCATGATGGAACCGAAAGCGCTCGTGGGGTATCGCCCGTTCACAATATTTAACTCGTCAGAATCGACTGAATGGTTTCTGAGTCGTGGAATTAGCTTGGTTGGCGTCCGGCTGGTCCAGCCTCAGCCTAGCACTGCCACAGTTGAACAAAATATAAACACTCCCAAACATCATCGCCACGCCACCGCCTCTTGACAACCAGAACACTAGCTATTAATGGTACAGCTTTCCGCCTTCTCTCAGGTCCCTCTTCCATGTGGACGAACCCGGGCAATCCCTC